AAAAAATCCCAGTATATTTAGTATTGATAGTAATTTTTGCACTGAAGAATATGTTAGTTACCAAAATTAATGCAGGAAATCTACTATGGTTCACTATTTAGTGATTAAAACACACTAGAAAAGCTAAAATCCACTTCAGGTAGGGACAAAATCCCTGTGTGAGATTTACCTGTACTTGTCAGAAGTGAAATGTTTTAGCTAAAAACGTGCATCTGTCATCAGATGGGTGGATTCAAGCTGTCAATTCTTAAATTAAAGAAAATGATATGTGCTAGATTTCAGAGGCCACCTGACATTACATCTCCTACTCAAAGGGGTTTGTACATCATCTTGCTTCACTTTTCATTGATCTGTTTGGAAAACCCGTATTTAATCCCCAATCTGCACGGGAGCAACCATATTTTTAAAAATTTAAATAAATTATAACGAATACAAATTGCTCTGGGCAAGCTGAGAATCTGTCAAGGTACAGACACAGAAAAAGCTGGCAGGCAGTTGCATTCGCTCACCAGTGGCCAAACTTTTGAATTTCCACACTTAGGCAAAGAGAATCTACTTCTCCCACCAGGTTTATTCCTTCTAACCTTCAGTCCACAGAGAAAGAAATGACTAAACCTCCATTATAATGGCTCCTGTCAGAAGTTTTGCACTGTTAGGACTATTTCTGCCCATTTTGGAAATTATATATGGCATTTTCTTGATTAATAGTCATTTTATAACTAGTGTATTGGCCACAAATCAAGGGAATGTCATAAAGTATCAAGAAAACACTCCCATCTTCCTCATCGCTTAGGCCTGGCTTCCTGGAGGATATATTATTTGAGTGGTTTACGAGTTTTCATTACTTTAACTAATGTACTACCTGCAGTGCAGAGAGAGAAATTCTAAACTAACGATCATTTGTGTCTACCAGCTCTTTATAGAGTGCCCATCATACATCTTTCACTTCTGTATTTTCAGTAGGGATTTTGAAGACAGCAGCTTTGTAAGAATCCTAAGGAGGTTTCATTCTATTATTTTTAATCTCAGCTCACACTTTTAATCTCAGAAATGCCAACAGATCAAGGAATGCCAGGTAAAATCATTAGTTTGATGTAAAAGTGGGGGGATGGGAAGGGGAGAGAGGAAATCTGCTCACTGCACTTACTCTGCATTCAGGGCACACATTTTAACTGATTTTTGCAGGGCAGGTGGAATTTGAGACTGTATTTCATTATGTTCAGAATCCATGCAATGACCTGTTAAAGTTTTATGCCTCTAGAAAGCAATTTTAATATAAATCATTATTAAAGAACCTAATGAAAAACCATCAGTTCCATTAATCTTCAGTGGGGTTGTGTGAATGTAGATGAGAACCTAATTTGTGAATTTATAAAGCTCCATCTCTGCTTGGATTAGATTTGTTTTGTGACTATGTCACACTATTTACACTTTCATTTCTGTGAATTTGGTAAGAACAAAATATTAGTTGAAGTATATTTTAAAACATCTCCTCAATATGTAATTTATACTGTAATGAACTTTCTCAAGGCCAAGTTTATATATGGAATTCGCACTTATCTAAGACAAATTCTGTCCTCGCTTTTTATTTTGAGCACAAAATGTCTTGGACTGTGGAATGGTGGCCGTAACAAATAATTGTTCCAATATAGGCTGCATAACTTTTTCAGATAGCCATAGATTCAAAGGCCAGACAGGACCATTCTAATCATCTACTCTGGCCTCCAGTGCAACACAGACACTAGAACTTCCCACAAATCATTCTTAAAGCAGATCTTTTAGAAAAAATATCCAAACCTAGGTTAAAAATTGTCAGAGATTTACTCTTGCTCAGCGGTGGACAACCTGCAGCCTGTGGACTGCATGGAGCCCATCGGGGTTCTATGTGTGGCCTGCAAGACATTTTGTTTACTGTTGCTCTTGTGCAGGGTTGCCAGATTCCTCTGATTTCTGTCCGTGTAGTTTTTCTCTTTACCAGTACTACTAAAGTAATGCACACATAAAGCAAGAGCATGCGAAGAGAGGTATGTGTCAACTGCATACAACATTGACTATCAGAGGGGTAGCCGTGTTAGTCTGAATCTGCAAAAGCGGCGAGGAGTCCTGTGGCACCTAATAGACTAACTGAAGTGTAGGAGCATAAGCTTTTGTGGGCAAAGACCCACTTCGTCAGATGCATCTGACGAAGTGGGTCTTAACATTGACTATGAGAGCCATACACTCCCTCTGCACCCAATCTAAGTGCTGCTATGATTCACGGGAAAAGGTAACAAGTTAGTCTGACTTACTTATTTTCCATAAACATTAATTATATTACCCTTCTTTACTTCTCTGTACATAGAATCCTGTATCATAATACTCTCAATAGATTAAAATAGACCCTGTTTATGACACCATGTATTCAAAATAAATGCAGTCATCGAAGTGGATATGCAGGAGATAGAGCGAGATCTCTGCTGTTCCATACACACTGGTCTGCAAACCAGCCAACAGTGCATGATGGAGTAAGCTCTACCCCAGAAGGGATGTTCTAGTTGAATGCCTGGGAGTTCAGTGAGGTAGACCTCCTTCTTCCCTAATCTGACTACTTCCTCTGCCTCACCTTCCAAGGGATTGTGGATCTGTACCAGATGTTACCGTGGACTGCTCCCCAATGTCATAATATATCACTATATACTTACTTATGGTTAAGACACACAATAGATTTTATTGAATTGGCAACCACAATGCACATTCAGTTTTACAAACAGTCAGTGCTACAGATTTTCACACCTTCTTCACTTTCAGACTGTGATAAAATGTTTTTAATTCCCAAAGAGAATATGATAGCAAAATGTAATAAATGACCTCCTTAAACCTGACAACTTATGGTGTGTTAAATATGTTCTGTTGGCTGAATTCCTAGGGCTGCCAAAATAAGTTTCAGTGCAAAAAGCCAAAGAGATTCTCTAAAATCTACCTCCTTTGGGTCTGATCCCTTAGACCTTATACTTTTGCACTACAGTTGACCTGATGCCAATGGGAGTTTTGCAGGAAAAGGGCCAACTGACTGGACCAAATTGTTTTTTGAACAAAATGTGTTTATGTACTAATAAAAATAATGTATAACTAATGTTAGCACACCACAAGGAAATAACTAGCTAGACCCTGATTCCAGAATCTTATTGTTGTTGATATTTTTCGAGTGATGATGTATAACTATAAGAAATCATAACTTGACTTTCAGATATTATGATGAGTTTGCAATTCATCAGTAAGAAAATCATGCCAGTCTCTCTGTTTCCAGAGTGCAAACTTTTCATTTTCCCTGCAGGTTCCACATCTGTCTCTTGTCAAGGCTTCCAAAGACTTTTAATTCCTGTCTTTGTGGTTATTTTCATATACACATTGTACTATACTATACTATGTAAAGAATAATAGTGTCAGACATATAGATTAAGAAAATTTGTTGGGAAAGGGTCAAATTGGTTTTTGTAAATGGAAATCATTCCTTACCAATCTACCAGGATTCTCTGAAAAGGTTAACAAGAATGTGAGCCAGTGTATACAGCTTTTCTGTGGCTGACAGAAAAATGGTGGTTCAGACCACTAGAATCATTAAAGACCTCTAACATTTCCCACAAGCCCGGAGTGGGAACCTCAGAGTACTGGCCAAATTTGAAGTGGGTAACTGAATTATGTTTAACAAAAATTTCCCCTCCATTTCATTCAGGTAAGGTATTCTTCACTTCCTGTTCTCAGCTGTTATGGAAGTTTGTTACCATTATTAAACAGATACTGTATTTTACTACATCCAGAGATGGCTTCTATTAGTGTTACAGTAAGTGATTTTGTATACTTTTCAGAAATGTATAATTTGTTTGGATAAAAAGCACAGAAGTAAGTTACTACCGTTTGCAAGATGCTAAAATTGGTCAAATAATACATTCAAAATATTCAAATGCATTATATATAAATATGATTTGACCTGTTTTATTATTTATTAAAGTAATACATTTATTGAAAGGTCTAGCTTCTGACTTCAAGCAAAGCCCTGAGCAAGAAATAATCCATCAGCAGCATAAACTACAGCAGGTCAAAATTTTCTTTGCAACAGAAAATGGTGTTTGAGTCAATGAAAATTTTCACAGAAAGAGTTTGATTTCTTAAAACAAAAGTTTGATTTTTTTCATTGTAATACTGAACACTAAACAAATTTTTTTTGGCTAAATATTGAAATTGGTTTGATTTTTAACAGTTGTTAGACCCAAATCTGCAGTGTTGGGACTTAACATTTATGGTTTGTTTCTGAAAAGTGAAACATTGTAATTTTTAAGAAAAAGTTGGAATCTTCCAATGAAAATTTTGATGAAAATGATTCTTCCTCTTCTTGTTGAAATTTTCAGTTGAAAAACTCTTAGTACTCTGCCCAGCTGTACCACTAATCCATGAGTTATCCATTGTCATATTGTGACTCAAGAGTCATAGCTTTTCATTGCAAAGTTTACATTTCTTCATCCTTATTCATAGGTGGTGGGAAGTAATTTACTGCTGGCCAGTAACAGCCAGTACCTATAGTTAAGCATCACTACTGTACCCAGTGAAAGAGGGTGAAGTTAAAGTTCCACCATTACCTACCCCCTTACCTGTCCACCTATATTACTAGTAGCTCCACGTAATGCCTGGACCCAATGCCCAGGTAGCCCATGCAGGAACATAATACTGCATTAAAACTTTGCATGGGTCCACAGTCATAATTAGAAGCTAGTTTTATATAACTAGACAAAAAGTTACAAAATGCACTCATTTCTTGCAATTAGAATGGCCTAGTGGTTCAAAGCCCTATATTTAAGTCACAATCTCTCTTGGAGGGTTAGTTTGTATTCACCGACTGACACCTCAGTTCCAGGCTGGCCTTTAAAAAAATTTTATTTCCCTTCTATGCGTCCTCCTGGCACTAGGACCACAACCGATCTTAGCAGCTTACCAATGAAAATGAATATCATGCACAGGACACATACCTTTAACAACACTTTCTATCTTCTTGGCCTCATTCAGAACCCTAAAGCTTTTCTGAAGAGAGTTCTTGGCACCATCCTTCAATGATCCTTGAGGACCAGATGCCTGCAGAACAACAAGCAATGTCATTCACAAAAAAAGTATTTTTAAAGCTGGCTCAGGGCAAGTTCAAAGTAACATAAAAGTATAAGAGGAAGATCTAGTTGAAAAATTATTGCATCAGCTTGGGGCCAGGCCATATGTCCATGGCCAAGACAGCTGCTGTGGGCACAGCCACAGGGGGGTGAATGACTAGGGGACAGACACACACAAACAGACAAACTCCCTGAAATATATAGTATATTGCTATCCCTTTCTCCACCTCTGCCCCCTATTGGCCCAATAGGGTTATGGCTGTCCCAGTCCTCATCTCTGGCCCTTTACTGCCGTCCTATGGTCATTCTGCAATATAATCGGCCCTCCTACTAGACCCCTCTCTTTCATTTCATGAGAAACAACTGAATTCCAGGCACATTCCATTATCCTGGCACAATAAAACCCTGACGTTGCTTTAAATAGAGGATAAGAGGAAGCTGCAGACCAAATTTGGTGGTTCTAGCTCCTTACCACTTAGGAGGAGTTCTTGAACAAATGGACCCATGATAGATGGTCACACAGACTAGACATCTCAAATATATAGCAGATGTTTATTTTTACAAGAAAGCAGGGATCCCCTGGAATGTCAATGATAAAGTTAAGAATAGAGAAAGAAAGGATTTTTTTTTCTAAAAGTAGCGAAGGCAGAATTGAATCTGGGACCAGATTTTTTTTTCAAATCTTTGTAAGCATATTTTTTAAATCCAAATTTCTTCCTGCAACTATAGGCACAATAACATAATACAGTTCAATACAGGTTGGATCTCCCTAGTCAGGTAACCTCTGGACTTGATCAGTCCTGAATGAGTGTATGCCTGTGGTTAATTCTGACCCTACTGCTGCCAGGCTCCAGGCTCTCCTGGAAGGACCACCAGCCTCTCCTGGACACCAGCTCGGCCACTGCTGGCCCCAACCAGGCTCTCTGCTCAGGATTGCTGCCCTGAATCCACTGCTGGCCCAGGCCAGCTGCCAGGCCAGCTGCTGGAATGGCTCCATTCCCAGCCCCAGATAGGCTCTGGCTGCTGATCTCCCTGCTGCTGACCCCCCAACCTAGCTCTGCTCCTTGTTGCCAGCCCAGTTCTACTCCTGGTTGCTCCTCGTCCTGTTTCTGAACTGGCTCTGTTCCTAATCCCAGCTGGACTCCCAGTCACCCAGACTCCCAGCCAGCTGCCACTCCCAGCCACTGAGGGTCTCTGGTCCAGAGGCTCTCTGATCTGGCAACATCTGTGGCTGGGACTACAGAAGTTCAACCTAAACATCTTGCTAACAACAGCTATAAAACATTTAATAAAGAGGTTAGATCTCACAACACAGACTTTAATATAGACCAAGAGACTTCCTCGTAGCAATTGTATTTCTTAACCAAATCAAGTCACTGAAGGTGAAATGACTAAAAATAGATTTAGGAGGGCACAAAAGTTAAATCTGAAATACTTAACTACGAAATGCTATTTAAAATATCTTATTTGAGAAATACACAAAGCTGTACCTACAGTTCAATGGTTGACAGATAGGAAAACTGTTTTACTAAATTAAATTAATATTTTAAATTGCTAGGAAATGCTCTGGAATATGAATCATTTACTATTCAGTGTGAGATAATGAACTCTGGTCACTCCATAATACACACTGCATTTCTTTGTGAGTACTCCTGACAGCCAGATAACATTTTATATTAGTCATGGGTCATAGCCTTGTAACTAGTATGCAATTAAGAAGTAACTACTTTTCATTTTCCAGGGCAGAAACATGTTCTTAACAATTAAATACATGCCAATTAAATGACACTATTATTATTGAATATTTATATTAAAAATACCCCGAGGTCATATTTTTGTACACTTGGCATATCTCTCTCACTTCTCTGTTACACACTAACCCTATACATTTGCCTTCCCACATCAAAATTTTGTCAGAAACCCTAAATTATTTGGAAAGTCAATACACTCTCATAATGAGATTCTCTATAAGGGAGCATTTTATTGCTTCATGTCCTGTACTCCATATAAACACAGCTACCAGTTTCAGGCTCCTTGGTATCATATAGGACTGAAACATATACTTATATACGTGCTTTCTTGAATAGAGACTGATTAAGCATGTGCTTAGGAGCTCCCCTGAATCAAAATCCATGTGGCTGCATTATTGTGCAATAGCATTCCACACTTCCAAGCTTCACAGACCCACATGAAACTATTGATTCCATAAAAACTGCAGAGCTGGATCTTCAGATCTCCGTTTTTAACATAGAGTAATATCTAATGTAATTCACTGCACATATAGAAAAAATGACGCTCATAATCCATTAAAAGAGTAGCCATGAAGAATCTTTACTTGAGCTCCAATGCAATGAGGGAATTGCTCCTGAAGGAGGCATGTTTGGCCAGTTCTGGCAGCAGATACACCTGTCAAATACGATTATGTTTCTTTTCCCTTTGAGCTACAAAAGCTAGGGAATGATCACTCTGTGCACATGGAACTTCAGATCTAATGATCATGATAGTAATTATTAACAATTCACTGGGCTTGCTTGACTGACTATTAAAGTTGTTTATATCTGATAGAATGAAGTAGAAAGGCTGCACTTGCAATGCAAAAACATACTGCAGGTTGAATAAGAGTTTGAGTAATTAGGGCCAGGCTGATATTTGTGCCAGAAACCCTGATTGCACTACAAACACTAAAGATAATGTTTTACAAAGATCTTTTCAGAGATAAACAGAGATGTACAGATTCAAAACAATTTAAAAGGAAATACTGATAGAAATGTACCGTATTTTCCGGCGTATAAGGTGACTGGGCGTATAAGACGACCCCCTAATTTTCTAGTTAAAAGATAGGTTTTCATCTTATACTCGCCGTATAAGACTACCCCCCCTTAAGAGGCCAACCGACAGCGCCCCAGCGCCCCTCCGCCTCCCCAGCTTTGCTCCCGGTGTCCCTGGTCTGCTGGAGATGGTCCCCAGCAGACCAGGGGCACCGGGAGCAAAGCCGAAGCGGCGGCAGGGTGCCGCGCTTCTGAGGCTTTGCTCTGGCAAAGCCTCAAAGGCGCGGGGCCACGCCGCTGCCGCGGGCGTCTCTGCCCCCGGCCCCG